AACAACCCACAACAGAGTTTGAAATCTGTCACCAGCTCAGCTGCCCAGGTAGCAAGGTGCTGGAGCTTACCTGCAGTTGGACTGATCAGGGACAGGTTTTTGGTTTTCACCTTATCCTCTTGCAGTAATACTCCTGCCTGGACTACCTCCTGTAAAGCTCCAGCCCCATCTGAGAGCAGGTACTTTCAAAGAATGTACACAATAACTTAGTTGAAGTATTTTTTTAATATTAAAGTCACTATACTTTAAATCAAAAATGACATGTAATAGAATTCCAGTGTATTTTGTTTTAACACCTACTTTGGAGAGGGGAGGCCAGACTGTTTTGTTGAGTGCTTTACCTTCCACTAAACGCAGTCAAGGAAGTAACTGCATTTGTTACGGCAGCAGATGCAGGTCACAGCTCATGCAGAAGTTAAATGGTCTCATGTTCTCAGAAGTATTTAAACCCTCTTTTTAAAAAAAAAAAAAAACAAAAACTAAAACACTGAAGTGTTGACTTTCTGAACATTAGTGAATTCTCTCCTTTCCCTGGTCCCCCAGATATTGAGGTAAGCTTGTTAGAGTTGGAATAGAAAAGCATGAGCTTGTTAGACCTGTCCTAGAATTAGCTCCTTTCTGAAGTTCGAAGGCTGTTCTTCCAGCCATGGTTTTTCTAGAAGAAAAACATACCTGTTTCATATCTTTAAGTAAGTGCTGTATTGCTGTTTGAAGTTTATTCCAGTTATTTTCTGTCCCTTCTGCTATGAATAGTTAAAAGGCAGTCTTAGTCTCAACTGATGTGGTTCATTACTTGCTCACTCCTCTTCAGGTGTCTCTTTCGGATTTTGATCATCCACTTAACACTTAACTTTGCAAAGTCTGCTGCCTTAAACAGAGCCAAAAAGATACCACAAAGAAGAGCAATCGTGTTCCAGGGATTTGCTGTGATAATCTGAAAGAGATTGAAAAATGGAATTGTTTGTTACTCACTAAGTATAATATATACAAATGAGGGGAATAATGTTTTTAAACAGAAGCATTCTGCAGTATATTCCTTTATGCTGCAAAGGTGGCCTGTAGTGCCTTCTCCACATACCTGCCTCATACCATGGTTTCCCAGTTCCTTCCATCAGGAAGAAAACATACTGTGCAAGCTGCCAAATTTCTTTTTGACTGTTTTGGGACATAGATTTTTTTTTTGAGATACAGTTGAACTGTCAATTTTAAGATTATAAATTAAATTTACTATATTATTTAAAGATTTACAAAAGTAAGTAGTCATGTTAAAGATGATCTTCCAGAAGACAAAGCTTAAAGCAGCAACTATGGGAAAGGTTTAACAAGACAGCATTGTAATGCTAAACCAGCTTTTCACAGTGACAACTTTCTGCACACCTACAGCAAGTATTTTGTATTTCTATTTTTAACTACTCTCGAACCAGATATAGTTAAGTTTGTTTATTTTTTGCAGTTCTCCTTGCACTTCTAGGCACAAGGATGACTTCTAGGATCTCAGACCAAGCAGAGCTAGACAGCAATGAAGACAGCTTTGGGACTTGCAGCATATTGATCTAAATTGTAAAGTGCTTTTTGTGCATTTGAATGCAGTACCAAATTCTATTCTAATAAGATAAAAAAATACGCTAGGCTATTTTTATTATTAGGATTTAAGCCTAGGTTTCTTGCTTGTCAATTACGAAATCTTTGAATCAGTTTATCCAAGCACACTTAATGAAGTAAAAAGTTCAGACTGTACCTAAAGCTACACTTTGCTAGAACACAGGGGACATGCACTTTCTTAGCTGCACACACTTCAAGCTGCAAACAGGATGCAGAGTGTCACCAAGCTATGGACAGGCATTGGGCAGTCTTGACCTCACGGAATATGCATCACTGGATATAAGGAAGAGCCTAGACTGAAATTTCAGAAGCAACCTCACTCTTCCTCTGAATTTCTGCTTGGAGTGAGGTAACAGGCATGTGCATGCACACGCAAGCCATGAGTGTGTACAGTCAAACAACAATTCAGAAAGGGACTAGGGTGTTACTCACATCTTGAACAGTCTGTATAAAAGGATCTTTCCATTCAAATACCACAAAAAAGAGCTGGTCACTTCTTAGTTTAGTTCTCTGGTCAATATAGTTAACAACGCTAGTCTGGGGAGAAGAAAAAAAAAACAAGCATGTGCAGGTTACTTTCTTCAGTGGTGCAATGAGTCATCTGTGCAGCAGAAAAGGCCTGTAAGGTGAAAATGGCAGAACTGGTTAGGGGCTTCCACTTCATCCTTCCTCTACCTGGAACAATAGGCTCCTAAAGTGTGGAAAGGGTGGTTTCCTCCATCTGTCTCATGTTCATATTCTTTTCCTATTTCCCTGCAATACCATTTTCATACTAGTAGCCAGGGTCTTTCTTTTATTACATGGTTTTTCCAAGGGGGGAAATTTAATTTACAAAATTCATTTACTTTGAATAATACAGAATTTGGAGAGTTCTCATGAATGAATGCTAAATTACTTTTTATTTACCAGAGAACTACACAATGGTGGTAGAAAGACTTTTTTTTAAAGCAAGTTGTAGAATAAACTAGAAGATGCCAGCAAGTACAAAATGAAACTGGAAGGGAGAGAAGCCTAGATGTTAGCAATTAAACCCATACTTCCCAGCACTGCCCATTATCTAGGTTAGCATTTGCAGCTAGCACTGACCAGCAGACAGCTTTAGCACAATCCCACCAGGGTACCGTTTAGGCAACCAGCTGGATGTTACAGCCACATCAATCCATAGTGTTAAGATCCACAATCAGGAAATTAAGTCATCAGGCCTCAGAAAAAAAAAATAAAAAAATTTACCTTTTAACACCCATCCAACAGGAAACTACATGGGGTTTGTACACAGGCACTACCACCACAGTTTGCACTAAACCCCCTCCCTCCCACCACCACCACAAGACAACGTAAAACACTCAAGAGCCAGGCAGTTGCCTAGCAGACAAGCACACTGGAGTTACAGCTGAACGCAGAAGGACTTCTCCCTTCTCCAGCCCTCAGAGGAGTATTTGCATCTTGGTGTGTGGAGAAGGGAATACTGCTGCTCTTCCTATGTTAGTTTAGTACTGTAGTAATTAATCCAGCAGCACTGTAACTTCATTTCAGGGTTGTGACAGGACTACTAATATGAAAACAGTGATTCAGCAGACACTGTATGAGGGATCACCTACTACACAAACTTCCTATCTACCCTGAATTAGAAATCTTGGAAGTATTTGTAAAGAAACTATCAGTCTTCTCCACCCACCCTGTACTGACTTGATTTTAGGCTGCAAATACATAGAAGCAGAAGCTAGAACACTGTATGTGTCCATTCAGAGCATATGGGAGCTCCACCACCTCCTGTCTTCTGATCAAACACCTTTGCTGCAGACGTACCCTATATATCTACAGGTCCTTTAATTATTGCAGCATACCATCACCCCAACTACACTGAGTCAAGAAAACTGCACACCAGGAAAGAAACAGTACACAAAGCAAAATTAAGGCAATGGGAAAGGAAGAAAAGACAAAGTGATGACTACTGGCCTAGTTAGCAGACTGACTGCGCTATTTGACCTAATACTTGTATCCATCTTTCCTGTATGCTGTCTCCCAGTTTTAGAATTAAAAGGCTAACGGACTTCCGTATGCAATTTGAGCAGATGTCATACTGTCAAACAAAGCAAGTGCGATTTATGTCTGAGCTATTTCAGCTTCTACTGTATTCTTAATAGGGATCTGAAACCCAAAATTCACATTTGTACCAATTCCTATTTCCTAGGTTTTATTTAAAAAACCCAAACCATCCCACAAAACCAAGAAAACTAGCACAATGTTCACCTAACTAGATGATCAGAGAATCCATAACTGCTAGGCTAAATGGATGCTGATAGTCACAAAAAGCTCAGCTTTTTCTGAGTTTGAGTTAGCCTTTTGTTTCTGCTTCGTGACACATTAGACTTGGGCACAAAAAGGAGGACTTTTAAAAACTCTACACTAGGTAAGTGATACAGAGCTGTAAGTGATGAAGGGCAGACAGACATCTGCTGTTAACACTTACATGGCAGCACCAACTGGTGCCTCCTTTCCTCTCAACTAAGGCACTAGTTTGGGACTTGCATGACTTTGGGCTTTGCCTCCTGTCCTCCTCCAGTGGAGTAAGAGGGCACTCACCTTAGTCACAGCTCTGCTCTTCCCTTCAGGCTTTGCCACATAAGGCCCTAACTGTGCAAATTAAAGATGCAGAATCTTCAATTTGTCTTTCATTTCAACCTCCCCAAATAGTGTACCACAGACTAAGAGACAGTGTTGTCTCTGAAACACATGCTCTCTGAAAAGGACTGCTCTTACAATTCTGATTTCTCATCACCAATGAGACTCTTTCTCCCCAGCCAACACTGGGAACAAGATAAACTCCAAACACAATTAGTCTCCTGTCCGTTAGTATGAACGGATCAGGAATGAAAGTCAAACTCATTTCATCTCTAGCTAAGTTTGCATCTTCCACCTGCATATTTTCTAGTTTTAAATGATGCAAGAAGTTAAGTTACTCCATGTTTCCAAGGATATTCAACAGCTAAAAATCCCAAAGCCAAACAAAAAGCAGACATGAGAATGCTACAAAGGATACAAGGCTTATGTTTACCTGTTCATCCTAACATCAGCCCTTGTGGTAACCTAAACCATACCTCTTTCCAATACTAGCCATTATTCAGATAATTCCTTTGGCAATTGTCCCCCTTGACTGAACTAAGCGTAGCTGTGTTAATATTTCTGTGTGGGTCTCTTCAGGCCCTTAACCTCAGGCTACAGCTGTCCCTTAGAACACACTCAAGGCCTGGGTTTTCCTGAGATGTGTCACAAGGCCACACCAACAGCTGTGCACATAAAGACATTTACCCTTTTACAGAACCTCTCCATGCCAAGAGAGAATGCAAGTAACTGTATAGCCAAAACCACTCAGTGACAAGTGGTGTAACGGATGCAGTGAAACAAAAGACAAGCTCCTGATGTTTCAATTACTTAACTAACCCACTCACCCTCCTTCTACCTCATACTGCCATTTACCCCAACTGGTTATGTTGGCCAGTTATTAAAACCATGGCAGTAACTAGTTCTTAATAAACTAAGAGGTCCTAAAAAAAAAACCTCTTCCTGAGGATTTCTTTAAAATTCATTTTTACCTCTTGTTTGAATTCAACAGTCTCACTACCATCTTCTTCTTTTGTTTTCACCAAGGACATCTTGACCCAAGTTCGAAAGCCTCCGGAAAACTTCCAGCTGGAGTATGAACTTTCACAATCCTTCATGAATTCTGCTTTTTCTGGACTAAAGGAAAAAGACCGTTACCTTACTGACCAAACTCATGAGCAGTATCTGACCACTGTAGGCAGGAGAATATCAGACCTACAGGCACTTCAAAATGTGTTCACAATCCCTTTTATGTTTCAACTGCTAAAATCCAGCATACCTGAAACATTGTGAGTTGTCATGCTTTGATTAATAGTAGCGCTTGCACTCATGTGTTCTTAACCGCAGAAGACTTACCTGGTGCCCTACCACCTGAGTTCTGCCTGCCCCTAGGGATTGTTCTACTTTACAGGTGAGCTTCATCCTGCTCATCTGTCATCTCTGGAACAGAAAGGAGTAGAGCCAGGACCCCAGAAAACAACTCGCCACAATATCAGGAAGCACGAGATGGAAGGAACAGCCCACAGGCAGGGCAGGCTGCTTCACTCCATTTCTGAGACACAAATGATTTTGTTGCAATGCAGGCATACTTAAAATGCTTTGAAATTTACATTTGGTGTATTCCTATTATTTTGGGAACACCATACCTTTGGTGTAAGGCTCCCATCTGCAATAACATACCTGTTTTCCCAATATGCCATCCAGATATTTGTAACCCCAGAACCCAGGATTGCTTTGTGTATTTTTTTTTTTTAATACTGTGACTGTAAGACATTTTAAGGCTTCCAATACCCCTCATGCTGCAAGTAGTAAAGAGGCAGCTCTAAGGCATACCTGGTCACCATCCTGTCTCTATCAACTGCAGTGTATTAACTGTGCTATTTACTTAGAGCTCCTCAGAACTGTGATTTTAGCCACTTTCACATCATCTCTATGAAGTAAGTCTGGCCCTGCAGCTGCTTTTTCAGCAAGGTTTCATTTGAGATTAAAGGGTAAACCACTGTGATGAATCATGAATCGTTAAAGCACAGATTGCTGATTTTTACTGAAGATAGATTTCAGGTTGCAGAGATGTGTGTGCTGGTCCTTGAGACAAGGGAAAGGATTTTGACTCAGACTAAATCCATCTTCCTAAGTGAAGAGAAAGAGCGTATTTTGATCATGCAGCAAAGGGTGCGCATGGCTAGGTCTACTGGGAGATCAAGGTATTTTGGTCTTTCAAGGTAAGATGCAGAGAAGTGAGGAAGAAAAGCAGAGCTGAAGAAGGAAGCTCTCATCCTAAAGAACAGACCAATCAGGAAGACATGTCCTGTACCAGCACTGGAGTGGATTTGCACTTTTTTTGTCATTTTCCTTAGTTTTCAGAACTAGGGCTCCTTCCTGCAAACCAAGATGTCTTGTCTACAAAGCAGCAAGAGCACGGACTGATAAGAAGAGTGTCATGCTGATGGCTACTCTGTACTACGCTGCCCGCTCAGGCTTAGTAGAGGAACATGCACACATTCATAGGAAAGCAAAATCTAGCAAAGCCATTGCTCTCAAGTCAGGGCTTCAGGTGATGGGCTCAAACACAGAAGTCCATTGTGGATACAAACAGAAAAAAAGAGAAGCATTTCTGGAAAGAAAAACTAATATACTTTGCCCATCAAGACAGATGATGTTCCAAGAGTGTTTTAGCAGGCTAGGAATATCTTTAAGGATTTGTGACATTAGCAGCTTATTTAGTGATCCCAACAGGATGGCAGTGCACCTCTCTAACCCTCACAAGGAAGACATGGAGCAAAGCATCACAAGCCCACTGCCTGACTGCTCCTCACCATACAAACCAAATGACATGGGGAGACCTAATCTGATGAGGATTCCCCCCTTCGGTAAGCGGGTACAGCAGCAGCTGATGGGACAGTACAGAAGAGCACAGTGCTTTGCCACTCAGAGGAGCATACATAATTAGCACTCTGCCAGCCAGTCACATGCCTAATGCATGACTAAATACAGCGTCCTAGAAAAGCTTTCCAAACCAATATGGAAAATTGAGGCTGGAAGTTATGACACAGAGCTGAACATTACAGCCACAACTTACATGGTGAGCAGACAGTAGTAGTATACTCTGCTTTCGACAGTAATTGTAGGCTTGAAAGATTAATAATATCTTAGGAGAAGTGATCTGAGAAGGCATCATCTCCTTGCATGTGCCCATAATCCAGACCACTGCCACAGAGTTGGTGGGGGCAGGGGAGCAGAGTTAAGAGGCACAAGTGATAGTAGAGTGCAAATAACACACAGCTTGAAAAATCACACACAACTAAGAACACAAGGCAGGCAAGGGATTTTAATCTGAATAACAATTCTCCAGACAGTTTCTTTTAATTCTCTCTTCACCCCAACCAACCTGCAAAGGCAGCACTTTTTTTTTTCCTGGTCAGTAAGTTTCTACCTATTACACTGTCCTTTACATGTATGGTAAGATTCCTGGAATACTGTCCACCAGGCTCTCCCAAGATATTAATGGTACCTCAAGACCCTGCAGAAATTCCTACATTACAGCAGAGAAAGAAAAGTGCAAGAGGCCACTCTCACTCAGGTGAACTACAAAGCCAGCACTTTCTGGTAGCCACAGACTGATCAACATCAGACCACGAGAGACTCTATTTGTCCCAACTGTGGCTGTCACTAACCTACGTCTGGACTGGGCTATAGCTCTGCAGTGGATCATTCCAACACGGATCTCTATGGACCAACCCACAAGAGCCAGAGGCAGCTTAGGATGTCCCACCAGCAATTCCAACACAACAGCAAGCACCAAAACCACAGATGGGTCAAACTCAATTTGTGTTTATTGCTTTTGCTTTCCCCCTAGACTGGGAAACTCAGACAGCTATGGGATCTAATAAAGGGTCAGATGGCACAGTACCAAAAGTCTCAACCCTTCTATGGTTTAATTTATTTCTCTGCACACAGCAATCCAGACCAGAGACAGGAACATGGAGCGCTGTTTAGACCCTAAAATAATCTCTGACCTGTTCAGACTGGTATTCATCATCTCACATGACCATAAGTTATTTTACATGCTATGCTAACAATAGTTTGTCAGTAACATGTTCAGAGGATTTTCTTCTTAAACCCATGTATTATACTAATGACAGTTCAGGAAAGGAACTTGTATTTTTAGCTACACTTTTTCTGGCAATTTGCAAGGGTTTCATTATTTCCTTCCCTTCAATTAATATGGTAACAGACAGCAGCTGCCACTGTCTAAAAAAAAAAAAGAAAAAACCAGCAGCAGTATCCATCCAACTCGCAGGCCAACAATAGCATACAGTTCAGCAGTGTTCTGTGAAGGCCAGAACAAAACTAGCAAGCAGTGCCAGTTTCATGTAGTCTGTCAATCCAATTTTAAACAGAAGAGCTGCAGAGAATAAAACCCTTGACAGAAACAACTGGACCTTACTTGAGTCCTCACCACTTGCTATGTCTCAAAAAACCCTTAAAGACACACATCTAGATGCCATTTTTATTATTGCTTATGGCTGATGCTTGCGGCAGCCTCCACTGATAGGTTTATTGCTATTTGAAGCAGAAGGGAGCTGTACATAATACTGTCTACACAGAAACTGTGGTGTAGATACAGAAGGATTCTTCTCATCAATTTCAAGGAGTTTTGGATTGTGATTTAAGATGATGAAATACCCTACAAATATTTTACAGCAGTCTGCCTGCCCAGCCCAACCTACACTGTTTGCAGGCATGGGGGAAAAAAATGGTAAAGGTAATTATGATATGTTGTGAGTTTTAGCATATATCTTTTATAACACTTTACATGAATTGCTGTTCACAATGCTAATAATATGCTCTCATAACCAGCAAGTGAAACACTTTGTCAGGAAGAGTAGTTAATAGCCAGTAATTGAAGTTTTTAGAGGCTGTATGGAAGGACACACAACAGATATCTTAGTCCAGACTTCCCAGCAACTAAATTTAGCATCTGCTCATGAACCAGAAATCACTTCTATTTTCTCTTCTGCTGGATGTTGGACAGAACGAGTACATTCAGCATATGGATGTGGTTTCATATGCACATAGTCAGGAGAAAACAAAAACTTTCAACCTGCCCTGAGCCTGTTCAGTTCATGCCCTGGGATGCCAGGACAGCAATACACACTACTGAGCAAGACAAGCCATACAATTTGTACCAAGCTTTAGAAGATGCTGTAAGAGACACTACTGGCCTCTTGCACACAACTGGTTCTCTTAGTGTATTTCACCTAGACAGGTGGATCATTTACTACTAAGTTTAAAGGCCTACATACCTTTTGCCAATTCTACTGTTACCTGGGCTAGTTCAAAACCAGTTTTAACTCACATTCCTGAGATGCATCCCCAGACAGACACCACCATTTCACTTTGCTCCAAACATAAGCCAGGCTCAGCCTTCAGTCTCCAGCTTCAGTTCCGGTGCCTTCCAACACCAAGACAAGGCAGCTTGTCTAGGAAGAAAGAGACACTTCCCCATCTCTTTGGGGATCAATTCTGCCATCTACCCAGTTTGACCTGGCAAACCTGGAGGCAGCAGGTTGTGATCCACGTTTCTCCCAGGCACCTTACAGATGATTGTTACCGATTCACCTACACTGGCACAGACACGGCCTTCAAGCTAGGACCTTTGCAATACTACTTCTTGTTGCTTTGCTCACCTAACCCACCTTCTCACAACACGTGGCACAAGCATTTGTGACAGCAGCATGCAGACTTGCACCCTGCTTGTGGAAATACTGCCAGCTTAAGTAGGACACACATGTTTTAACTTGGGCAGAAATAGCTCTGTAAAATCGCTTATCTGCGAATTGATACAATAGGAACAGAAACATGGCTTCCAAGACTTGAGTACGCATAGACCAAGTTGTGTCTTAGTAAGTTGGCTCATTCTGCAAACAGACAGGAACCAGATGCAACACAACTGCTCCTCCTGCTCCGTTTCACAGGGGGTGGTCTCTGTGCTTGTGTCTTGAAATACACAACAGCTGCACACCTTGCTGGAATCGGTCCTGCTGTACATACAGCTAACTGTGGCATGAGTCACAAAAACTGAGAAAATCAACACAGAAGGAATGAGTAGCACCTTCTGCATCACTACTCTTAACTGGTATTTTCTCACCCTAAAATACCAATGCCTAAAATATCAGAACATTGGCATTTTGTGAGGTGTTTTAGTACAATTACAGAAAGTACTTAATGACTTGAGATCTCTCGTTCACTGAAGTAGAAATTCTTTGTAAAAAGCAAATTAAGATAATTGGTCTTTGGCCAGAGATACTGTGAGTGAACATTTTTAGTCTTCACTATCTGAAAAGCACCAGTATGATCGTGTCCAAGCCTTCAAGAATGCTTCGTTAGGATAAAAATCTGTTCTTTCTCTTCTTCTCCCTCACCTGATTTTGTTCTGCATATGCCCTTTACCCTTTATCCCTTTTTCACTCTGCATTTGACCATTAGCAAATTAAAGCTTTCTATTAGGTCTCACTGTGACTGTCTCTTGTCTAGCTTTTAATCTGGATCACAGAGAAAAGGACTTGAATTTAAATAAAAACAACTAAACAATTAAGTATGGAATTTATTCTCACAAGGTGGGAAAAAGGGTAGGGTTTTCAAGAAAGTTCAAGACAGGATTAATTCCACTCCTACTAAAGTTAGAAGAGGGTTGATCAGTCACTCCAATGGCACCAATGTCAAACTAATACAAAGCAATTTTGAAAACCATCTATGACATTACAGCATTCTGTAGAATCTCACATAAAGTAATACAACAAAAATCACAACAAATCAATCCTAGGGATCTGATCTTTATAGTAATTGCAAAAAAAAAAAAATCACAGAAACATTAGTGTTCTCAGTGGTCTGGCACACAGCCCAGGACAGCACACTTCCTGATCACCCTTTAGCAGCAGACAGCGGTAAGTCAGCATAAACTTCAGGCTTTTAGTAAGTGCAGCAACAAATGGCTGAAACATAGCTGAAGGGTAGGTTTTTGTCACTGAAAAATTCCTCAATTCATTTTCTGAAAAGCAAGTTTAGAAATCTAAGACATGAAAGAGTATCAACATAAACCAAATGTTAAAAAAATTATAAAAGCCTATCTGATTTTTACTAAAAAAGCCATACATGCACTAGTATTGACAGCACGTTCAAAGCAGTTAGACTCATCCCTTTACATACCTGTTGATGAACTCTTCAAAAGAGGAAAAGAGAAGGTAGTCAATGGCACTAAAATCTTGGTCTGTTTCATTTAAATGAAACTGCAAAAACACCAGTTCCTTTTTCTTCACATCACGAGGGCCTTGAACAACCAAAGCATACTTCTGTAAGCAAACAGAAAGATGGTGAGAGTAGCAGACGAATCCTCATTTCCTGTTCATGAATTTGCCATCTGTCACTAATACTCTATAGAAGTTTAATACACACCAAGACTTTCTTGGCTGTTACAAAGTATATGCCTGTTAAAATATCTAACAAGAATGCCAACTGAATCCCTCCTTTTAGTTTAAAATTAAGTATTGATGTAAAGACTTAGTGTTTTTCTCAGAAATCTGATTTAGTTCTACCATAGTCCTTTGGGTTCATGTGGAATTACCAGTCAAGGCCCTGCAGCCTGCCTTCTGCAGAAGGTACGTCAAAACTAGTTTGAGCATTAAAGTCTAGGAACTTTAAGCTCTTGGCATGAAACAAGCTAATTTGGAGTCTGTTGTGGACAGCATGAGTCTTAACCTTGAGAAAGAAGAACAGCTTCACAGCCCCCAGCACCTCCAGTAAGCTGCTGAAAGGCAAAAGAAAGATAAAAACCACAAAAACGCTAGCAGGCACAATACAACTTAAAGTAGTGCAGGCATTATATTGAACAGCAAGCTGCTGCCTGCAAAAGGACTTGGCCAATTTGAACAGGGCTCTACATGGTTCACAGGTCTCTGTCTCAGTGCCTCTCCATTCAACTGGGACTAGAGCCTCTTGGATCAGCAAGCTTCTAAATGAATCTACCATGCAACATAAAATGTGGGTTCTTAAGTTTGTTAAAACACACAAAAAGCATATTAGTGGCAGAAATTAAACTAGACTTGCACCTAGAATATTACTTTCAAACATACTAAGGAGCTGCTTCCCAGAAAGAAGTGGTGACTAGGCAAAAGGCAAAACATGAAAGAAAAAAGCTGACCAAAGGGGTCCCCAGGTAGTTTGTTTGTTCATGTTTAGTTTCCTTAAAAACAATCTGAGCAATCACTTCAGATACATAGTTACTACTTTATTTTGTGAACATTTATTTATACAGAAGCTAGGTTCCCTTCATTTTTAAGGGCAATTTAAGACAGACTCAATGTACCCATCTTATTAGCTCACAGCATTTCAGTGTAATGAAACACTTGGTGCCCAGTTAAGATTTTTCCAAGTATGACAAAAATAGTATGTAATTCCCAGCAAACATACAAAAAGAGATAGCTATCCTGCTTTAATGGAATAACTGCTACTGCTTTCAGTCAAAGCTAGGTTTACTGTATCAAGGAGTATGCTTGCCAGTTCATTTAGCAGAAGAATGAAGCAACAGTTTCATTGTGAAAAATTACTTATTTTGTCCCATTCACGTTTTCATGCTGCACACACCCACATGACAGCTGATCATCCATAACACATATACATAGTGACTGCGGTCTTTTACATTTCTAAAAAGAAAAAGGACAGATGGCTTAAAAAAACCAAAACAACCTAGAAGCAAGGATTTTTTGCAGCATTTACTAGATATTTTTTACTTTCAAATACCATTACGAGCAGAAAATCCCCACTGAATAAGTTTGCTCAATTATATTATTATTACCATAGTTTGATTAGTAAAAGGATCTGTGTAGTTGATTCTCTGAGTGGTGCACTCTATGTCTCCTGGCTGACCTGGATTTATCAGAGGCGGAATGTGATCATAGTAATGATGCTTGCAGCTAAGCAACCGAGCCTTGCCCGGATAAAAGGCAATACCTGTTTTGGGAGGGAAAACAAACAAAACATTGAAGAGAGCCTATTTCTCTCTCAAGTGTATACATTTTCATCCTGGGATTTAATCCCACAGTATACTGAGCTATCCTCAAGATCCAGCAAAACAATCAAATTAAAAACACACACTTCAGCATTTTTCTGGAGCAGGACAAGAGTGCCAGCTGCATCAGGACAGAATCTCCGCAATATGTTAAATACATCAAGGTTCCTGTTCTGTTACAATTCAAGGCTCACAGAAGTTACAAAGTTTCCCTAGTCTTCCCACAAGCCAGCAGTTAATCCATCAGTCCCTCTGGCCCTGAGTTAGAAGAACGTGTAAAGTTAGGAGTCAAGTGGGACGTGTAGAGCTTCAGCACATGCATGTTTTCAGATGTCATCATTTAACATGTCAAATTTTAATTGAAAATAACGTACATACAATACATGACAGATCAAAGATCACTGGCTGATGCTCTTCAGAACATCTAGCATCTTCTGTTCACTGAACACATCACACAAAAAAATAAAAACCATCAAGCAAGTACTAACTGTTACCATCCCTAATTACTTATATCACTAGGCAGGCAGGCTATTACTTCACCTGTATGGAAATTCATGTGTATTATAAATCTATGGTTTCAGACCAACAGCATGCATTAAAAAAACAGTCACTTCAGTTGTAGAAGGCTAGTAAATTAAAAGCCCAAACCTCAAAATCATTTTACACCACACATGCCACATTTAGTATGGAAACAAACTTGCATGAAGATAATCTAGACCAATTATCAACACAAGTATTATTTGAGTTATTAGATATGATTAACTCTCACAACCAAGATGACCTGTCTGCCAAAATGCAAGATATCAAAGCAGCCAGCATATATCAGTCTAAAAATGCTTTATCCCTTTCTTCAGTGCTCCATGCTTGCAACTTGCCATCTCATCACTTGCATAGAGTGATGAAGTAAAAGGCTACAGTAATTTAGGTTCTCTGATCTAGCAGGGATCCCCGACAATACTTTTGTATTTATATGTCTGTTGCTCTGCTTCTTTAAATGACATTTTCTTCCAGTTGCTGTACTAAAAGCTCACATAAAAAACCCAACCCTGCTCTTACAGTCAGATCCACATGGTTCAAACACAAGGACCTACTTACAGAGCTGAGCCTAACTGACCATACAAAAAACACCTACAGGAATATGGCATCAACTTGAAACGCTCACCTTTCAGCCACAATTACTGCTTATTTGTAAAGTGTGGTAACACTTCAAACAAAAGTGTTATTTTTAAATTGAAAGCTGACATACAACTGTTTGAGCAACCATAGCTCTATTTATGAGTGGCTACTGGATAACTTGAAAGAATAATGATGGAACTCACTATTCAAAAATGCTTCTGTGGAGTAATCCCTCCTGCAAACTGCAACAAAGTTTCCTGATGTCACACCACATTTTTATGCCAACATTGTTCCCTGCAGTCACATCACATTTTCATTGCCTACTGATGTAATACCAAGTTGTAAACAATGTAGAACAGAAGCAGAAAGTGGCATTGTGGTTATTTTGTGGTTGGTTTAAGAAATTCACCTTCTTTACTGTCAACAGCATCTCATTGTCCAGTGCAGCACTGATGTCCTGATACACATCCTATGTGCTACCTTTTTGAATGATACAGTTTGGGGAATATTTCCATAAGGAATTATCTTCTTTCTCTAAAAGAGGGTCCATTCTAAAGTCTGCAAACTAGAGTCTGCAAACATACCTTATCTTTCAAATGTTGCACGACACTCTGCAGCTACTGTCATTCTTGACATATTGGCATGAAAGCTCCCAAATCTCCCCAAAAATATTAATACTTCCATGCAAAGTCAGCACAACATAGATTAAAAAAAGAGCAAGTGAAAGACCTGGGTCAAAGCATTATATGCACTCTGGGCCCAGGACAATCAACACCAAAAATGTAAAAAGAATGAACAATGACTTAACCCATTTTGTTTGTTACCACTCTTACCAGGTGCATCATACAAGGACACTTCCTTGTAAGAGACAGACATCACTGGGTGCTTGAGCTTTTCTCTGAAGTCACTGATGGTTTGGTAAACAAGGAACACAGCTACAGCCATGAGCAGCAGATAAATAAACAGGAGAATTACTGAAAAGACATTCTTTAGGCAGGTCTTGCTGAAGCGCAAAGAAGGGGCAGTGGTACCCAGTTCACTATCTGGAACCAAACAGAACATAGATTAGGACTTTAAAACACAAATATTTGAGCTGATTTTATGTAGTGTTCCTTTAAAGATCAATCACTTAGAGGAAAGTAAGCCCCAAATTCAGCTTGATTAAAAAAACCCAAACCACAACTATAGCTGGTTTTGATGAGCTGCTTCCTTCTCAAGCATGAGGCAATCATCTAGAGATTGTGCCTCTTTTTCACATGTTGAATTTGGCACTCTGCTTAAGGACATGGGAGGCAGGAAACAAGGTTTATTTTCAAGAAGGACAACTCAGAAACAATGTTCAAAGTTCACAAGAAAAAAAAGCCTGTTGACAGTCAAGCTCTCCTCCTGGAAGAACAACTCCTTTCCCCCTTCCCAGTGTGAACCAATTCTTCTACACTCAGCATTATGCATCAGACAGATTTAATATTCTAATTCTCTTGCACAGCTACCTGCATTGCATCTCCACTATGGTAGAAGTCACTATATATTTGTTACCCTGTCATTTTTGGACTCTAGTTCGTAACTCCTTGTGTATACCAAAAAGTTTCACCAAAACATTCTCCCAATTACAGCTAGAAGACCGACCCAATTCTTTCACAGTATCCTTGCCTTCAAAGCTCATTCTCTGAAGATCTTCACCCTGGTCTCACTCATACAGAGACACTGCCTTCCCCGTACTACTTGCATTCACCATTCCTTCTGGCAATACTTGTAAGAAAAGGGTTCACGTACTCTTGAGTTACTTGTCATGTTTTGAGTGTGAGTGATATATAGCTGAACACACAAAAGGAGCATTAAACCCCAACATATGAAAGGAGGTAAGTAGACATATTTCACACTGTTTTTTCTGTGTGGGGTAATCTAACAAGACAGGCCCTCTCAGGCCATGCCACAATCTGCCTTTCAACTAGAATAGTATGATTTCATGTTTGTTCCTTACCACAGCAAACACTAGCCTTTTAGTAAATCCTATTGAACACATAACCTCTTACAAAGGTCCATGGTCACTGTTCCAAGTTCACTGCCAGGAGATGGCAGTCTAGAAACTTAGGACATTGATATGCATAAAATTGCACTATTGAAAAAAGGTGTGTCTTGAACAGCTGCAAAGCATTTAGACAATACTTATTTCAGGTTTGCTCACCTTAATGCCTACACCTGAGCTGCAATAAGCCCACTTAACACTGCCCTGCACCTTCCCAAAGCAGGTCTGAACAGTCTAACTGAAATGTGGTTAAAAGCACATCTGTTCAATATTGCACCAGATGTAAATCTGGCACAGACTTTGCTTGCCATGCACTGCCATCACTGACACTGAAACCCAGGTAAGATACAACGTAAAGGAAGATGACATACTAAGCTATCTCAGAACCAGATGTGCTGAATCTTCTTTGATTGAGCACAGTTCATGACAAATTTTCTCACCACAATCCTTGTAAAAACTCTTGGCTTTCCACCAGCACTTATTCCTTAAAATAAGTAATTTAACATTTTGTTTGTCTTCAGAAGTGCAATAAAAACCCCCAACCAAACCCCCACACAGAAACAGCTTACCAGGCACTTAAAATTGGTAATTTCTGGGTCAAAAGTTCTCACCTGGTAAAATAACAGAGCTGGAATCTTCATGAACTTTCATCTCTCCTTCTCTCTCATCTGTTGGGTTTTCAGATACTCGCTCCACATCTTCACTCAGCTGTGTAGTTGAAACAGTAGTTCAATTTCCAAACATGCTCTCAACTTGCAATTGCTGGAATTTCTATGGTATCGATAAAAGAGGCTCCAGCTAACCAAACACACAAAACCATGCCCCCAGTCCAAAAGCACCCAACACTGGTTCCACTCATTCACAAGATAACAGCCACATTTATGGAGACCTACAGCTAAAAATTAAGTGACTTGCATGCTGCAAAAAAAAGAAAAAGATGGCACGTAAATATAACCTACTTCTACCTTGCTGCTTCAACAATAACATCACCTTTTCTTTCAAGATCAAAGTAATTGTTTCCCTGGCAGCTTCAGCCCACTTTAAACCCCCAATTAGGGAAATGCCCTCTGAAATAAGCAGGAACTTTGTTCTGTCAGTCAAGAACATATTTTTAGGCATAAACAAACCACAGCACATACCAGCAAACAGAGCATTAGTGCTTCTTAATAAAGAGGTGCATAAAGGGCAAGTTGCATTTTGACAGGTATTAGGGCAAGTAGCTCAAATGCAGTCTCAGCCACACAGGTAGGTGGGTCATTACAAGACTACAGTCAAACATCTCTACATTTTTGGTACTTATTTGAGCTCACTGTACATATTATTATATATTAGTGGTTATGCAACCAATTAGTCTTCCAGTGTTTCCAAAACAGCAGAGACCAGATGTTTTCTTGTTTTGCTATTCAGAACTCCAGGCCCAAACTGCCAAGACACTTCTGTCAAAGTCAGAAGCTTGTCACATCAGATAGGTATCACATGAGATCGTGAAGCATTAGACTTTATATATATATAAAGTCTAATTTCCTCTACGTTTTCCAAATTTCTTTCGTGGCAGGAACTGACATACAAATTAAGCAAACCGGGGAGTAAGCTTACAGCACATCACGTGTTGCACCGTAACTGTCCAAGCTAAACACTCAGCGTCACCTATGTAGTTAGGTAAGGAAGATTGGGTTTGTTCCTATTCCAAGGAACACGGGGGCACAGTTAATGCAGCAGCCATACCGAATGGTATTAAACTTTACACCCTGAATTCACCCAACAGTAACATGCATGTATCCATAAGGAAGTGCTTTTATTTCATTCAACTTTAATTCAGTATTGAAATCATCATTATACCATTATTTGCACTTATTAGGAAAGAGTTCACTCATTTTACGTCTAAGTCTGACGTAACGTCTCCATCACCTCCTGCTATATTTGTATTCACTACCACCACGCAAAGCAAGTTGAAAGCAGTTACCCAGTTGTTTTTAAATGCTTTGCACGTAAAGCACGATTTCCCATGGTGTGAACAGGTAACTAATGAACTAAACATTGCATTTGCAGGAGACTTACCAGGGTCCAACTGAAGATATTTTACGAAGATAATTAGAAAAAAAAGGGAAATTATCACTCTGCTCCTTTTTGTAGAAACATACCAGTTCTGTTTGTTTACCTGACCCAAAATAAGCTATTCTGACACAAGAAGAGTCTTCACTGAAATTCTTGTACTAGTTAAGCTAAATCAGCTAAGAAGCCAGTTCAAATTATACTCATGCAAATTTCTTATACCAGAGCTGATCCAAAAAGTTTGACATAAGGTACAAACTCACTGCAGTTTCTCAGCTGACTCGCACACCTATCTGGTTCAGCCAGGGTTCCCTGGATACAGGCACCTCATCGACAGAGGTTATGTAGAAGATAAGTGAGTTCTATTCCTGATAGCAAGGAGATCCCAACACAAATTTAAACAAGAGCACAATATGCAACATTTCTTATCCTCCCAAGAGGACCTACAGTGAGTCTTCAACACATAGGAGAAGAAAAAGAAAAAAACTCAGAAGATGTAACCTTTCAGCATTCCTTAGAAACAAAAACAAAACCCCAAACAATACGGGAATATGTTTTATTATGTCTGCTCACAAGGCAGTTTCATAAGCTTTTCACACATAAAACTAGTGAAGGACAGCTAGTCAAAAGCAGGAGTGCTAACATTGCCTCAGGTGCAGTGAGTAGGTTGAGCTGATGTGTAAGACCCCCTAAAACCAATTAATTCCACTGCAAATGTGAACACCTGACTTACAAGAGGTGAAGTAGCACAAATCCTCTGGAGCCACCAAAAGCCTAGCACTGCTCATAGCTCAGCCACTGTGTTCTGAGTGTACAGCACGCGGCACACTGACTCTACAAGGCAGAGCAGCACAGGCTTACAAACCCAACAACTCACAGACATACTGAGCTACAGCCTCCTAATGACTGGGAGGCCAGCACAGCATTACTGCATTACAGCCAATTCTAGTTTCACACTTGACAGAATCCCCAAATCAAGGCAAGTGACAACAGTAAGCCTAGCGTACGCCAATGGTGTTCGCCCTCACAGACCAGCTCTTCCTGCATGTTATTTTTGATAAAAGAGGTGAATGAAACATGGTGCTAATGCAGAAGGAACACAAACTTGCAGGGCAGTTAAGCTTGCAATAGGATAAGATATCAAGAGCAGGAAGGGCATGAAACAGACTTTTGTTCAGCATTCCTCTGGGCTTGGCATGGACAGCTAAGGGAGAAATAACTGCAGGAGCTGGTCCATGACCCAGTAGTTCCTTTTCAGTCCTGCACACAGAAAAGCACTGGACAAACAGAAGCTCAGAAGAGGCAATTCCAGACATTTCAGCATCCCTGCTAGGAGCAGGGCCATCACAGACTGCCCCAGGTGCCAGAGAAGGGATTGAAACACAGCCATTGCAGTCACACACCGTCTAGACTTGTGCCACAGAGCTTGGGACACGGAACAGCGTCAGTAGTGGCTGATACATAAGGTGGAAGTGTAATGTGCATAGTCCAGTCCATTCTTCAGGCATCAAGGCAACTTCATTAACTCTCTCAAGTACCTCCCCTACATACAAGCTCTTACATGAGTTAATTTTATCCCGATAATCATGGGATAAAACACTCTTAAATAAGGGGAACTTGTCCATACAGGCCTTTTGCTGACCCACTGATTCACCACCTTCCGATGCCTTCTAGCCTGGCACAAAAACCAGAAGCTGAAACTAAACAGACAGCACTAAACTAAATTAGAACGCATTAAAACAGAGCCCCAAACTACCTATCACATACAGAGGAAGGCAAACATCTGCATTCCTTTCACTTGCAAGATGCAGACCAAAGTGACCTGCTTCAAGTCTCCACCGCTGCCAAACTTGGCACGAACAGCTTGTATCTCTGGTACGAGAGATAGGAACGAGCAAGGAATTCCGGTTGCTGGAGCCTGGACATTGATATGCAAATAGCCGCTGCCTCAGGCTCTTGGCAGGATGAGAATATGGCCTTAGGCTGTACCACAGCCGCCCGACAGACCACCTCCCGGTTACAAAAGCCCAAGTCAGAGAGCTCACCGGCCAGCTGTACCTAGCTCGTGGATTTAGAAGTACCGCTCCCGATTATATTAACCGCTTTTAAAGGTAAAACATGAAATTAAGCACACCCAAAACACCCATTTCTTTCTAGCGAGCGTAGACGCAACCTGACATCCCAGTTACCCGCAGTAAGAAGGGGGGCTAGGGGCAGCTCCAGGCAGGTGAAGGCACACAGCCTCACGGCGAGACCCT